TCTCTCTCTCTCTCTCTCTCTCTCTCTCTCTCTCTCTCTCTCCTCTCCCTCTCCCTCTCCCTCTCCCTCTCTCTCCTCTCTCTCCCTCTCCTCTCCCTCTCTCCCTCTCCCCCTCCCCCTCCCTCCCCCTCCCTCTCCCTCTCCCTCCCCCTCCCTCTCTCCCCCTCTCCCCTCTCCCTCTCCCTCTCCCCCCTCTCTCTCTCCCTCTCTCTCTCCTCTCTCTCTCTCTCTCTCTCCCTCTCATGGCGCGAGGAAGAAATCCCGTTCCTCCTGGATGAGCCCTTGAGGATTTACGACCTGTTGTTCAAAAGTGATTTAACACGATGTCCGAACGAAGCCTCAGACCCTTGATGGATATTACGAGGATAAATTCAAACTCGTTGTTTTTTCCCGCGAATTTTACACATTCGCGAACACGTTACCCGACTCCCCCCCCCCCTCAAAAAATACAAGACATTTATGGAAATCTCAAGGACGCCGAAGATTATGAGGGCCGTTCTGCAACAGGAGCTGGCGATAGCATCACGGGCGAAGGCGGCAGGTCTTCGTCCTTAGGGATTTCCGTGGCCTTGATGAGGAGGAGGATGGCGTACGAGGCTGGCGAGAGCAGTCGAGTCCGCGATGAGGCTGGCGAGAGCAGTCGAGTCGGCGATGAGGCTGGCGAGAGCAGTCGAGTCCCCGATGAGGCTGGCGAGAACAGTCGAGTCCCCGATGAGGGCTGGCCAGTCGAGTTCCCGATGAGGCTGGCGAGAGCAGTCGAGTCCGCGCATGAGGCTGGCGATGAGCAGTCGAGTCCCGCGATTGAGGGCTGGCGAGAGAACAGTCTCGAGCGAGTTCCCCCGATGAGGCTGGCCTCGAGATAACAGTCGAGTCCCCGATGAGGCTGGCGAGAGCAGTCGAGTCCGCGATCAGAGCTGACGAGAAGCAGTTCGAGTCGGCGATGAGGCTAGCGAAGCAGTCGATGTCGGGCGACGAAAGGCTGGCGAGAACAGCATCGAGTCCGCGATGGAGGCTGGCGATGAGCAGTCGAGTCCGCGATGAGGGCTGGCGGAGAGCAGTCGAGTCCGCGATTGAGGCTGGGCGAGAGCAGTCGAGTCCGCGATGAGGCTGGCGAGAGCAGTCGAGTCCCCGATAGGCTATGGCAGAGAGCAGCGAGTCCCCGATCAGGCTGGCGAAGAGCAGTCTACGTCGGCGAATGAGGGGCTGGCGAGAGCAGTCGATCCCCGCGATGGAGGCTGCGGAGCAGTCGAGTCCCCGCGAGTGAGAGGCTGCGAGAAGGCGAGTCCGAGCGTCCCCGATGATGAGGCTGGCGAGCATGCAGCATGTCTCACGATCAGGCTGGCGAGAGCAGCGAGTCCCCGATCAGACTGACAGCGCATCGAGGTCCGCGATGAGGCTGGCGAGAGCAGTCGAGGTCACGATGAGGCTGGGCAGAGGCGAGGTGAGAGCAGCCACGGTGAGTGAGGGCGGCTTAAGGCCAATGGCGAGTGTTGTTCATGATAATGGTATTTCTTAGTAACCCTGACAAAGGTATTTCTCTGGGAAGGCAAGTTTTACTGTCTCTTTTTTGTATGATTTTATAGTTTACCCTCGTTTTTTCGGGAGACTTTGGGAACAATGTAGTTAACCTCTTGTTATAGCTGGTGAACTGGCGGTGTAGACCTGTTTGGACCCGAATACCTCGGTCGAAAGGGCGAACCGGAAGTAGGCGTCGTCACTTTTCCCGCCCGCAGCCAGCCCGAGTGGGTGTCTGGCGGCTCGGTCTGCGGGCGGCGGTTAGGCGGGACACGGCGTGGGCGGGGACGGGCGTGGGGGAGCCTCTCGCGTACCTCGCCCATTTCAGAATCATTTGAAGTAGTATTTTGCATTTATAGATGGTGGTATTTACAGTCAAGACGGTTCACTTCCTGACATTTTCGAAGGTCGGAAAACAAGTCATTAATCACTTTTTAGCCTGTCCCCAAAATATGCTCATTGGCTGTTCATGTGTACATTTTCCATTTGTAAATACATCGTTTTTGGAATAGGGATGAGGCTGCGTCTTAGATGTGGAGAGTAATAATCCGTTAGAAATGTTGATGTTTAATTAGATAAGGCGATATCAGAACCCTAAAAGTTTATTGAAGCACAAACAGTGACGATTTACTTTCTTTTCGTTCTTTTGTAACATAACAACCTATGTATATTAGCGACAACGAAGGTTTGTCGAGTGAGCAGACACAAACACGTGTATTCCCTGACTACTAGCTACGTAACTACATTACATCTTCTGTAACTTTGTTGTAGCAGAGTGGAGGAAGGGGGACGTAAAACCACCTCCGGGGCACAGGAGATCGCCTGCCGGTCGCTAGACTTCGGGAGATCTCCATTGTCATTTGAAATTGCTTTTGGGATGATAAGTGTGTACCGTTTTGCTGAATTTTGGGGTAAAACGCCCGAATTGTCTTGTATATAATGAGGTGGTGATGGTGTAAATGGCGTAAAGAATGTGGCGTCAATT